GCCGGGGCGGCCCGGGCCGTGCTGCGCTGCAGGACTGGGTGCTTTTCCGTATCGCACAGCTGGAAAGACTGGTACAGTTGCCTGATAAGGATACCCTAGGACACATATGCTTGTAGGTGACAAACTGCGGCAGGATTTTACAAATGGGGGAAAAAAAAAAAAACAAACAAACAAAAAAAAAATCATGCTGAGGGAAACACGCATTCCTGAAAAACAAATGCGGGAACCGCTTTTTAATCGTCACTTGTACTGTAATGCCATCTAGTGACCACAAAACAGTACATGTAAACCTTTCAAATAATGCTAGTACAGGTAATATATTCTACGTAGCCATGTACATGCATACAAATGCACACATGCGTGTACACGTGTGTGTGTATATATAGACATACTAATATATATTCCTAAATTCATTGCAGGCTAAAAGTACTTTTAAGTATCATATCCATTGCAGTGAGATGGATCTCCTTCAGAAGCTTTAATAAAAAGACTTTTTAAGAACAATATTATTGCAGCTGTTAGTAGTAATATTATTGTTACTGTAGTATTAGCATTGGCCTCAGGTATGAGGCAGGACCATATTGTGCTGAACTCTGTCCAAATATAGAACACATGTTAAGAATATTTCAAGGAATAATTACCTAGAAGTGTTCTAATCCTCCCTTAATATAATTTCAATCATGAATCATAACTGATTAATGGCTAAAAGTATGATCTGCCATCTAAATTAACTGTACCTTGGTGGGTGGGGGAAGCCCTTTACTTTGGTACTCTCACTTCCCCACCTACCCACCACTCCTCACTAGTGATGGAAGGAGAGCACACACCCTAGTCATGCTAGGACTAGCTTATCTCCTCACACCTTTTAGCTGCCAGTGTCCTGTGCCTTGCCTTGCACACCCCATTTCTTCAAGCGAGGGTGTGTATCCTGCTTACATGGAGCTGCAAGCACTATGGGAATGGAAAACCCAAGTTATGTTCACTAAGGCAGGGTCAAGTCAGACCCTGTGGCACAGTTCCTGCAGGCACTCTAGTTCTGGCTCTCATGTGGCTTTCGTGTCTCTGTAAAAGCGGTCTAGGCTAAGCATCACAGCTTCCCACATAATCAAAAGGAGACGGGAGCTCACACAGGGCTATCACCCTGTCAGACACCTGCTTCAGAGTGAGTTGCCCTGGGAGCACCTTACCATTCCGTCTCTGCTGACCAGGTACAGAGTCTGTAAGGCTGGGCAGGACTAAAACTTAATTTTTAGACAGTGAAAGTCAAAGGAAAGAAAAGGCAGGTTTAGGTTGTGTTATATCTGTGTTCTTTTTGACATCTATATTCAGAACGGATGATTCAGATGGGAATCTCCAGTGACTTTAAAAGGAGCCCATAGTGCTTGGCTCAATACAGACCATGAGCAGTCGATATTCCCAGTCTTCAAACGCTACCTCCTCCTTTCAATTCTCCTTGAAATTTGCATATATTGCGTGCTCTGTTGAATTTTATCCAAAAGACACTAACCTGCACGGCCTGACCATTCAAGGACCCATCCAGCTGAACCGTCAGAAATGCAGACGCAGTCAGTTCATCTTTTGTAGTATGGGCTCCTTGCCTGAGGAAGACAAAGAAAAAGACAATGGTTAAGTCCGGTTACAAAATAATCCTGAGCTTATACTGCACGACAAATGCACAGTAAACAACCTTCCATTTTGTTGTGGTTTAACTCGGCAGGCAGCTTAATGCCACACAGCTGTTCACTCACTCCCCTCTGCAGTGGGGGAGTGGGATGGTGGATGAGAGTGGCCTCCCCCAGTGGAATGGGGGAGAGAATTGAGGAAAAAAAGGGCAATTTGTGGGTTGAGATAAGGACAGTTTAATAGGACAGAAAAGGAAGGGAAAATAATAAAAATGATAAAAGAATATACAAAACAAGTGATGCACAATGCAATTGCTCACCACCCGCCGACCGATGCCCAGCCAGTTCCCGAACAGTGGCTCCCTGGCTAACCTCCCCTCCTAGTTTATGTACTGAGCATGATGTCGTATGGTATGGAATAACCCTTTGGTCAGTTGGCGTCAGTTGTCCTAGCTGTGTCCTCCCCAGCTGCTTGTGCACCCCCAGCCTCCTTGCTGGCAAGGCAGTATGAGAAGCTAAAAAGTCCCTGACTTAGCGTAAGCACTACTTAGCAGCAAGTAAAACATCAGTGTGTTATCAGCCTCATTCTCATCCTAAATTCAAAATACAGTGCTATCCCAGCTACCAGGAAGAAAATTAATTCTATCCCAGCCAAAACCAGGACACATTTACACACATTGAGTGGTTCTACTCAAAATGACAGAAAGTCCGCATAAAATAATATCTACATGCTGGAGGTCTGTGCAAAGCTGACCAAACATACCATGTGTAAATGATCTGCCCTTTAGGGTAAGTGTAGAGGATAATGTAGCAGTCACCACCATAGAACTGTCCGTATGTCTCAGGTTCCACAGGAACTCTGCCGCTGCTTTCCACACGCCAGATCTGGGGAAAGAGAGAAATCACTGGAGAATGCTGAACTTCATCCTGAGACTCTTCAAGAAGCAATTTATAGTGTCATCTCTTGAGTGACCTTTGTTTCTGTTGCCAAGTGGTATGGAATAAAACCAGGAAGGATTCTTCATGAAGTAGATAGACCCTGTGCCCACTGAATGAATGAACAATGATCATCAACAAGCCATTGCAGTAAGTTTTGTCTTGATGCTTTAATGCCACATGATCACCTCATAATGTATGTTGAACTTATTTTCTTAACATCGTAAGATGATAATATGACATGAATGGCACGACATTATGATTCATCATAGAACTATCACATCATTTGAGAGAGGCACACTGTATTCAGATAACACACTGTTAGGCAGATTTCTTCCTGTTTGATTCACTGCAGCCCAGTTCAGTTAACAACTGCTCTCCAATAACATACTGCTAAATTATACAGCAAAAATTACCTCAGATCTAAGATGCTTTGGCTCAAGCCTAGGGACCATCCCAAGTATGAGGTCAGAAACTCAGAAAATACACTAATGAGACTGTAGGTATTTATCCTACTTTTTTTTTCCCAGAATCCCAACATGCAGACCTGTATTCAACAGGCTGTGTTGGTGCAATGCCAAATCAGCCCTGTGTAGTCCGAAGATATTCCTGTATGGTGACGTGGATAGATCTAGAAAGACTGTACAGTCGCCTTTTTCTTTCCAAATCCAGGCTACCTAAGAGATGCACTAGGGACTTTTCTCTAGAAAGCAGATTGGATACATACATAAAGACACTGAATGAATTTCTGACTCCGAGGGCAAGTTTTCCCATTCCAGATTCCAAGCTGATGTGAGCTAGAAGTTTTTATTTAGGCTAAGGATCATATTTAAAGTATATCTTTAAGAGGTATTGTGTAAAAGGGGAAATGTCTCTGCTGTTTGATTTCTACCGACAACTGGTACAACATCTTTCATAAGCACCATAAAAACGTGAGCCGGCATACAGCTGACAGATTCACTTTTCACTGCTAAGTACCTTTTCTGGATGGTAGAAGTAACACTGCCACTAACGTAGTGTTACTCTACACTAAACAGTGTAAATGGCAAAACAGGGAGTAGCAGTTTATCCTGTTACAGTTACAGAATAAGCTAGGTAGGTAGAATACAATTGAAAACAATGCAAAAATTACCTCTACTTTTCCTGAACCATCATCTACCATGTTATGCTGGGCAGCCATTTGTGGAGACTCGTGTAACTTGGTAGCATCAAATTCAATCTGCTCAATTTTAGCCACTCTCTCTGTGACGTACACTTTGCCAAAGCCATCGCTTTGGTCTTTATCCTTCCAGTCTTTGAAAAATTGTTTAAAAATTGGTGTTTCACCTCCTTCAGGAAGGACTTGAATCTGAAATGAAGCAAGACATGTGAAATGGAAGGAAAACAAAACTGACACAGTTAGTCGAACAGAAACTTTTCTGAATTATCTGTTAGTGAAACATTGACCTTATTGTCTTATAAAGCCCTTTTTTTTTTTTTTTTCCTGATTTAAAAACAAAGCCATTAACAGCTCATGCTCTCCTGGTATCATCTCATAAATAGATCGCACCTGTGTGTTGGCAGGATAATTCATCTGCTGTATGAATTGTTCAGCATTCTTCATGGCAGCTTTTCTCTCTTGTGGGTTAGCATCTTTGCCTAGTTAAAACAGAAGGATAACAATACATGGGAAAGGGCAATGAGCTCACAGATCCTGCAAAAACAAGAAGTCCTTGAGGCAGGTTCTCTTCAACATTGCTGATGCCTCAGTCTTGAACAAACACAAATGCTAGACATAGCATGAGCACTAAGATTCACAGAAGCTGAATGGCGAAACCAGTACCTCAGCGGCTTTGAAAACAGTTAAAATAAAAAGAAATTTTAAAAAGGCATTGTTTTTTTGCTTAATGTGTGTGTTTCTATCAAAAAATGCTGTTCATACTATCTGCTTGGTTCAATGTACAAGAACACCCTGGATCCTTTCTCTGAATTCTCCCTAGCTGGGCTTGCAACGTGTTAAATAAAGCTGGTGTCCAGAACTGCCTTCACTTCTTCAGGCAGCACCACAGCTGGAGCACAAGAAACTCCTATTTCATCTGACCGTGCTGTGCAGTTTATCACCACCTTTCCCATCCACTGCTTCTTGTTCAGCCCTGCTCGGTGTTAGACATCTCCGAAAGTCTCTGTGGGATGATACTGTGTGTCAGGTCTGTGTCCCAGCTGGCTGTCAACGACTATACTCCAAAGACCTCTTAGTCTAATAAGATGCTCTGATAAGCTATTCATTGTATTCCGTCTTGAATGAGACTATTAGCTAAGTAATTCACACTTCTCAGCTTAGTGGTCTGAAGATTTCCAGCAGAGATGATAACTGCAGCCTCCCAGGGCAAGGGTGAGACTCACAGACTAATGGGGTTTTTCCACACATTATTGTAGCTAACAGTAGCAAAGTGAGGATGCACAGAGGAGCACAAAGGGCCACATTCAAAGGGCCTACATTGTATTTTATTTATTCTGTGCCTGATCCTATTGGCTATCTGAGCACAGCGCTCCCAAAATGCTCACTTTGAAAGGCTATTTCCCTAACTGCAAATGAAGTTTTCAAGCAAAATGCTTACAATGCTTCCTGGACTGACTTCAGCAATTTGACAACTGCATCAATTAATTATTTGCTATTGCACATGGTAAAAAGAAACGCAAATGCCACATAATAATTAATACACTGCCTCAGACAAAAAAGGGGATATCCTCAGCACTGGATGCAACAGCAGTACCACAACAATCCAGCTACGAGGCGTGCAAAAGTAATTCCTCAGTAGCAGTATTCTCCTGAGAAATGATCATTCAGAGCAATTGCAGGCACGTCTACAAGCATGGATGACACCACAGAGAAATATTCACAAGAAAAAGAGAAGCATCAAAGTATTTGCAAGTTTATGCTTTTAGTTGATGCCTGGGACACTCACCTTTCAATTTCACACCTCTGTGGAGTAATGTATGGAAATATAATATCTACCCATTATCAAACCTCCAGTGTCCACATTTTGTCTCAGAAGACAGGGATTTGATGGCAATATGCAAAACTTGTAGGATTCTTTGTTTGCTCTATAATTGCAATAAGCATTTAAGCACCCAATCTTACAGATGCCTCAAAGATAGCCAGGATCCACAGACAGGGCTTGGTCTTGAGGCCCTTACTCACATGAGCAATCCTTGTCCATTGACTGCACCACAGAAGAACTGTGTGCAGGGCACTGTGTCCAGCCAGTATTAAATTCTTGCTAGTGTCCCGAGGGTGTTGTGTTGACTCCTTAGATATGTCCATGTAGCTTCTGCTTTTCCACAGAAGTGATCTCTTACCTTTCCACACAAAGATCTTCCTTGCGGCACCGTTGTCCAAAATGAAGCACTCCTCAGACAAAAGCATAGCCATGGAGAAGGGGTTTTCCTCTGCTACCATAGACACCTTCATGGATCCACTTGCATCTGACACCTAAGAAAGCAATTATTTCAAATTCAGATCAACTCTGGCTTTTATAACGAAATTAATTGCTTTTATAACGAAATTTGCTCCCAAAATTACTACAAAAATCAGTCACCATTCCTATATAAATGGGTGTATGATATTTGGGTGCTGCTGGAAAGGACAGTAGGCTAGTAAGATTTTTTTTATTATTTCATTTCATTTTACATCCAATAGAGGGAGATGTAGTGTTAATTTTAGTGAGTTTTTGGGATCCCTGTCTCACAACTTCTTAAAATAAATCTGTTTCTCTTCCACTTTCAATTCAGCTGCTCATTCAGTGAACACCTCACAGTTAAAAATCTGTATTTTCTTCAGCCCACCCTATATGCTGAGCTGAGCTGGTGGAGTCTCCAGGTGTCATCTTCTGCTACCAAGCAACCTGCACTGAAGCCAAAGGTACATGCACATGCTGAACAAGAACATTTGAAATTATAATAAAATAGTCCTGCACTGATATTGACAAGTGAAATACATTTATAGCCTGCAGTTCTTTAATTGGAAACTGTCATATAAGACCTGTTGCAGAATCTGCTTTGTAACTTCTACCAACATTGTAAGTTCATGTAGACCTATATAACCTTTTAAAATTCAGTCCTGTGTAGCTGAAAAGACCAGTTACTGCTACTGAAAAGAAGTTATTACTGTTGTGGCTTCCACTTTTCTAGCAATCTTTACTTCCTTTCATAATTAAATATTAATTTTAAATACAGCATTATATCTTATATTGTATATTATAGAAGCACAAGACGGAAATTACCACTGCATACAACAAATAAAAATCAACTATTATACCTACTGTGAGGGCTCACCGTAGACCTGTCTCCTGACTTTAACACTCCCTGTTATATTGCAGCACGTTTCCGTTTAGCTAACAGAGGTCTTTTAGCAGGACCTATGTACTTACAGGAATTTAATAGATACCCACAGAATCCAAAATTCGCTGCAAGCGAATAGTCTTACTATAGTCTTACTAATATAGTCTTACTACAGTGGTCCTGATTATACTACAGGCCTTCTTTTCCTTCTTTTTTTCTTTTTTTTTCTGTTTTTTTTCTCCCTAAAACCCTGCTATAAAGACAAAAAGGTGCCAGATTTTTTGGCAAGAATGGAATGATTAATGGGAACTGAACACAGCACATAGACAACAAGGACTGAAAATGGCCTTGTAACATGGATCGCCTCATACAGGCTTCTTGTAAACCCCAGCCACAAATATGGGTAGGGGCAAGGTCACGTAACAGCCAGGGAGAGAGGTGGCTCCATCCTGCTGTGGTCTGTGGGATGCAGGAGCTGCAGAGGGAGTCACTCATCCTATCTCGCACTTTGCAGCAGCTTCGAAGGACTGTAGGTGGCACCTAAGAGGTCACACACATGGGGATCCAGTAGCACTCAGTGCTGTCAGTGTTGCCACTTGTTGACCAAAACTTTCTTGTTAAGTGACTATGGGGAAGGGAAGAAAGTACATTGTATGCCAATGAAAGTTTCTTTTCTGTCACACAAGGCAATCTCATTGCATGAGCCAGAGCACAAAGTGCTGAAGACAAAGGTCCAGATCTCGATGCTAATGAGAGCTTGTGAAAAAACATACTCTTCTTGCAGTCTTCAAGAGAAAATAATCTTTTTTTTTATTGGGAGGGGGGAGGATACAGTTTTTTCTAGATTTCGTTAAAAACATCCTCCTTTTCAAATACTTTCTCACTTCTTTTCTCAAGTGGGAGAATATGAAAGAAAGGGGAGCTGTGGAAAGAAAAAAAAGAGAAAATACAGGCCTGGAAATAGTTTGGGTTTTGGCTTTTTTTTTTTTCTGAAAAAGAAAAAGAAATAGTTGTGTAGCCTTGTATATAAGTAAGATACTGTATTGTTAGTTGAAAGAATAAATTCCATGCCTCTTCTGGGAAAGAGCAGTATGCCTAGCATCACATGAGGAAAAAATCATAACTTTACTGAATGTAGTCATAAAACTCCTACTGATTTAAATGAAGTAAATATTTACTCCATTTTGTTTATAAGCAGTAATATAGTGGCACTGTCCTAGTGTTAAGCCATTGCAGGTGAGGAAGGAGGAAAAGGGTATGGCAAAAGAAAGGAGTTTTGCATTCAAATTCCTTTGGATTTATATATAAAATATAACATAACTGTCCATCTCTCAAACCCTGTGAAGAATAACTAAATCATAGAATCATAGAAAGGTTTGGGTTGGAAGGGACCTCAAAGATCATCTAGTTCCAA